GGCGGGGGGAAGCTTGGCCTTGATGCTGAGAATTTCCCGGCAAAATGCTGTGGACTGACATAGCTGAGTTGATTGCTTTTGTGTAGCTGAAAACAGATGAACATTGGATGCACACATGCAAATTATTTTTGAAGTGGCTTTCCATGTGACTGATTGACTTTCCTTTGTTTGTTTCATTAGGTTGTTTTTGTTGTCCTTTTTTAAATTTATGAGCTTGCCAATATCTGAGAGTGATCACTGATGTGAAAGGAAGAGGAAAAATAATTGCACTTTTTTTAAAGCATGCTGTGTTTGTAGCTTAGGTGAGAGAATGACAGAGAGCAGCTTGCTTTAATGTTGAAAGGCATATGGTGTCTGATGCTCTTGATCAAAACCTACATGTTTTATACGTAGCATTCCTAGTTTAAATGTCTGTAGCTAGCCAAGACTTGAAGCCCCTTAACCTGGAGATCAGAAACAGATACTGGACTTATAAATCGATCTCAATCTTGCAGTTGAAAGGCTATGGTGTACATATAACATTTATTTCATGCTCATAAAAAGGTGAAATACTTGGTAAGAAAAATAAAAACAGAAGAAATCTGTTGCTCAGAAAGGAATTACTAAAAACAAAGCAGAAAATTTTGGACATACTGAAATCAGAATGGCAGGGGAAAGCCATACAGTGGACGTGGTGAAATTTCTAAGCCAGTTCTTTGAAATCAAGAAATTAAGAGAAGAACCCAGTGGTTTTGTGCCCCTTTTTCAGTCTTTCCCCCATGTAAATGGAAACAGGTCATCTCTTATTCAGACTTATCTGCAAGTTAGCTGTTACCACATCCATTTTTATAACCTACCTGGGCTTGAAAGCTTCATTATTACTTTCAATCTCCCTTGTGTTTCTGGAGGCCAAATATTTTGGGGAGAAAGGAACAGGAGATTCATTCTTGTTTGTACAGAGACTTAGCTTTCTCCTAGTAGAGTTAGACTTGTGGCATACAAGATTTTTATCAATTTTTTAACTTCTTCTTATACCCTATTAAGAAAGATTGTACTGTCCTCCTTTTTGCTCTGAGTTCACTTTCAGAATTGTAGTAGGCAACCTATTATAAAGTGAAATATTACAGGCTTGGCCTCTGAAATGAGGTGAAGGAGAGAAGTTGCTGTCTTCACATAAAAGGCGGTTTGAGCATATGCGATGCTATGAAAAAGTTGCAAAACCTCTTGTGTATGAAGGTGACAGAAAGTCACTGCATTTTTGAATATTTAAAGATCATTTACTCATTAGTAGTGAATATCAAGTAGAAGATCAGATTAACAAACCTGAGACCTTGCCACAGCTGGGCACTGAGTTAGGAAGCCTTTCAAAAGCAACAGTAGCAGTAACTGAGTGTACATTTTTTTGGCCTATTGCCTGTGTATCATTCAGAATTAAGAGTGATGCCAGAAAATTCTCAGCATATTAAGCCACCAAATGCATTTGATAGTCAACTGCAGTATTCCCTCCTATCATCCAAGACTGATTAAATCCTGAGGATTTTAGGCAGTTGTATGCATTTAAAGCACTATGATGGATTACAATATTTAGCCCAATAGTTTGGGATTTCTTTGTAAGCGCAGGGGTGCTTGTGTTGCCATCCTAATACGTGTTGGTACCACAGGTCTTTTATGGAGGCCTTATGGATCAGCTGTACAGCGGTGGTGGTAGTGCAGAGCATCTGAGCTGAGCCTGCCGTGCTGAACGGCTGCACATGTTGGCCGAGATGGCAGCCTCATCAGCAAAACCATGTGCCTTTCACCTCTCCATCAGTGCTGGTGTCACACAGAAGACCAAAACTGGGTCCTCTCCTCTGGGTGTTAGATCCTGAAAGGCAACGTCATGGCCACTGTCTGCTTTCAGGTGCCAGAAGGAGATAAAACCTCAAAGACAAAAACTATCAACAGTCATCTAAACATGAGCTGGAGCATCATGTGTCAACTGTCTCTGTCCTGTCCTTTGTGAAAACAGACAGCTCTGTGCACAATTCCTGTAGAAGTGGCTTTTCCTTCCATTCACAACACTACTTTAGCAACAGAACAAACAAACGCAGCAGTCAGTGTAGACAATTCCAGGTCAGTTCAACACTTGGTTGTCCTCTGTGCATGCAACTGTATGCAAGTTAGTGCACAGCGAGCCTCTGACTAAGGTGTCTCCTGGGTGAGAAAGTCCTAAGGAGCTCTCTCCTTTCCATGTCCATATGAACTGAGTGCATTTTGAGCTAACTGGAGCTTCTTTCAAAATAAAAATTGATCTGTTGGCGGCAGCGTGGAGCAAGCATGTTCGGAGTGTTATTCAGATGTCAAAATATGGTATTGCTGGTGGGGATTCTTTTTCCATTCCTGTGCAAAAGGAGGAGCTCCAGTCTGGCATCTTGCTGGTTTTCTCGCTGCACTGCTAATGTTGACTTTTTTGGGTGTTTTAGCATTTCTGATTTCTTACTCATTGGGACGTTCCAGAGTCCCTGATTCTTTCTTTTTTGATTTTAAGGGGAGGGAGATGGAGAAACAGGTAGCTTCTTGTCCTTATAGTTTTCTGAATAAAATGTTCTCTTTTGTTATGTTGAAATCTTTTTATTGCTGACATGTTATAATTTTCTTCTTTTAGTGATGATAAGGTAGTAGAAGAACAACCAGAAGAAGATGAGGAGCTAACCGTTGTGGAAGATGAAGATGCTGATGACGATGATGATGATGGTGATGAAATTGAAGAAGAGACAGAGGAAGAGTATGAGGAGGCAACTGAAAGAACTACGAGTATTGCAACCACTACCACCACAACTACAGAGTCTGTGGAAGAGGTTGTCAGAGGTAAATTCATGGGCGTTTAGCTTGGGGCTGGAAAACTGATCCTGCTGCTTTGCATGTTTGCCCTTTACAACAAAAAATGTTCCAAACAGCAAAATATCCTAAGTTGCAGCATCGTTATGCTTTGGCTTTGGTAATTTGCACGTTGAATCCCCTCCCCTTTCCCATTACAAATAGTCTTTGGGGGTGTCTGTCTATGAAGTGTGGTCGTTGTGTATGATGTGGATGGAAGCAGAAAGGTTGGGTTTATTTTAAAGTAATATTAAATAAAATTTGACTGCCATATGTAGCAAATAACACAGGAAAAGTATGTGTGTGGGTTACCATGTGCACGTGTTGCAGAACGATAGGGAGTGTCAATTCAAAGCAGGAGGTAGCACTAGCTAGTTTGGTCTCTTATATTAAGAGCAGTGCTTAGTCACTTTTGTGTGATTTCTGTTAGATACCTGTTTCCAGTATTTCTCCATAAGCTAGTAATTCAGTAAAATTAGGTGAATTTAGAAATTACTATGCAGAAAAGTGAACCTAACTAATGGGGGGGGGAGGGATGGGCAGAAATAGGAATGCATTGCCCAAAAAAGAAAATATAGAGTGAGAAAGAACTCTTCCTTTCCAAAATTTGTTTTTCATGATGTTTTGTAGTTATTAACATAACTGCATTTTAAATTTTGAATTTTACCCTAGTCCACAGCCAACATAGCAACATAATATTTTTAAATGCCACATTTCTCCTATGATACATATTTGAATGAATTATCCTTATATTTCTGTTCTAATAAGTACAATTGCATATGGTGTAAATCTCATGAAGATAGATGACGATTTTTCTACAGTGCTTACATCTTTACCAATAAGTGCTGGAGATGATGGCAGAAAATGAGATTAAATGCTACAGTTGAAAAGAAAGGAGTTGGGACGTGCAGGAGGCAGAGGAAGAATGGCAGCGATTAGGGTGGTTGTGAAACAAGGCAGAAAACATCTGGCCTGGCTCCTTTCCTCTCCCCTTGCTTTCCCACCCCCTGCCTCTGGGGATGCTTGGGACTGAAGTGCCAGTGGAGTACCCCCCATTTTGCATGTGGCAGCGTCCTTTTCTCTGGAACTGTGGTGCTGATGTTTGGCAGAGCAGGTCTGGAGCAGAGGGCTGCCGGCTACGGTTCATCACACGGGCCGGGGACAGAAGGGTGCCCAGGGGATGCTTTGGAAAAAACAGTTTTACTTCATTTAGGTTTATCTGTTCAGTCTACGTGCAGATAAGCTCGCTAATGAAAAGTGCTAATGCTTTGCTACAATCACTTGCAAATGTTTCTTTGTAAGGCTGGCAACGCCGTCTTGTGCGTTTCTGTCTTACATAACTGCACCGAGTGCTTTGCTCAGTTATTGGAGAGCCATTTCAGTGAGGAGGGGGTGGGAGGAGATTATGTTTAAATCTTTAAACCAATTAAATATATTTCCATATGTGAGCTTTCACCACCTGGGGATAAAACGCCCTGTTCTCGCTGGTAAATGAATATTGAGAGAGGAAAAAAAAAAAAAAGAACACTTGACTTTAATGGGATTTTGGATGAGTGGAATTGAGGACAAATTAGGTAGAGCGTGTTTCTTTACTGAGGTTGACATTTCAAAGAGGTTAAGATGTTTCGCCTTCAGGAAAATAGTGTGTAATGATATGAATGTGAAATACAAAAGAGATGAGGCAAACTATTGAAGCCACCTTTTAAAAATCCTTTAGAAATGTGTACACTTTCTAGCCGATAATGAAACGCTGTTGTCCTGTTTTTCCCAAGTCTAAAATTTCCTACCTTGGGTGACTATGAGTAAAATATGTGTTGCTGCAAGTGAGGTGAGGGCAATCTGTTACCAACACAAGTTTTCAGCGCAGTTCTGCCACAGCCCTTTGGGCTTTCTGACCTCCAGCCGTCCTGGGGCACGGAGGTGTCGAGCCTCTCCCTGACTGTGCGTAACTGGTATCTGGCAGAGCTGCACTATGCAAAATGCTTGCTTGTGTGTAAATGTAGAAATGTCCAAATAACTTAAAGCCTTGGCCCTTGCTTTTACTTCCCTTGCTGCCCTTGAGAGAAGGGTTCCTGCAGGGCCCCTGTCTCCCTGATGCAGTCAGCAGATCCAGCACAGGAACTGCTGTGGTGAGCATCTGCTGTTGTATTACTGTTGCAAACAGAAAGGTTTGTCTCTGTCAGTGCAAATGAAAGAGGCAGAGGTGCCTTGTAGACAATGTACGTATTAAGAAGTGGTCCATCCTGTGGAGACATCTTGAAAGCCTTTCCAGATGGGGTTAAGTGTCGGAGCTTTATTCTCATGGACATGAGCTCTGCTCAGGCTACTTTTCCCAAGCGTTACCAAGTGCAGTTCATAAAACATATCCTAGGATGCTCTTCACAGGCCTTTTACAGCCAGTTTTATGTATGCTTTATGAAGCTGTAACTAAAATTATGTCATTAGCATTAAAGAGCACAGAGAGTGGGTTTGTCCAATTTGAGAGGAGTTGCTTTTTGTAAGTGAAACCAACAAAGAGCAACTGTTCTAAAACCATAAATTAGGATCTAATTGTGGGCTGGTACTGAGCCCTTTCTCCCCCAAGTCAATTGAATGATTGCCATCAACCATAAATAATTGAAAATCGTCAATGTAATGTTATACTTTAAAGACACTTGAGCTATTGTAGAATCAATTTGTCAGGCAATTTTATTTCTATGCATATTTTAATGAATCGTGATCAAAATAGCAATAGCAGAACTACTTGCAAACTTATTTCCAGTGTAAAGGAAGTTAGTCTTGCCTAGAGAATGGGAGAGGTCATTGGCAGGAGGACAGTCTTTTCATTCAGTTTCTGCAGCAACCGTATTTTTGTAAGCTATAGTGCTTATTCAGAAATGTGAATCAATTTTTCCTAGCATGGTACTTGCCAGTATTCACTTTCCTGCCTTTTGTGAAGAACTATCTCTACTCTCAGTTCACATGGAGCAGGGCTGCAAAGCCAGTTTAAACTTTCAGATACGCTCTTGCTGGAGTTGAGGTGTTAAATCCAGCCAGTTGCGGGTCAGAGGTTGCAGGGAGGCAAAGAGTGAAATTAATGTCAGGTTGACATTTTTCACCTTTGGTGACTGGGAGATTTTTATCACTGAATTTGTGCTGAAGAAAGTGTGGCTCGGCTATGAAGCCCTGCAGAAAAACTGTGGCTCTTGACTTTGGTCTCTATATGGAGCAAGGGAGGTGACTCTCTGCTGGCCAGGATTTAAGGAATGGAGCGGTTTGACTTCTTCTGTCATCGTCGCCTCTGGGGTGTTGCTGAGCTGCTCCCGAGGCATCCAGGCTCCAGGTGATCCTTCCAGCGCCTGACCGAAGCAAGCAGGAGCGCTGCTCCCCCGTCATGTGCAATTGTTTGTGATTTTGTTTCTGCTCTCCTTCAGCACAGTAGGTGACAAGAAAAATTGCTCTCTCTTGGCGTACAACAAAGAATAAGCAATTTCAGCTTAGTGCTTCCCGTCAACATAGCAGTCAATCAGGTCTCATTTAAAGGAGAGCAGCCCGGTCAGCACGGCAGCCTGGCAGAAAACAGCTGGCAGCTTCTTTGCATACCTGTCAGCAGATGCGGGGCATTCAGCAGCATTCAGCTTGACCTGCCTCGTCTAGCGTATAATGTTGCCCTTTAGCAATTGGTTTTGCTTTCTCTAATTCAACTGGATTCCTTTAAACAGTTAGGAAAGAATTTAACTGTGTTTACAATCTGCAGTTGCAAGCGAGAGACCGTATGCTGGTTTCCTAGCAAGAGAAAAGTAGCCTGATGTTTGTATGATAGCTCTTAGCTTTATTGATCTAGCATGGGGTTTTTTTTCTGAAGGTTTTTATGTCTAAAAGATTTTAAATCCATTCAGTGACAGCTACCATCTATTCTAAGGCAAGGGAGGTTAACCCTAATTGCTAGACCTATCAGCTGTAAATTTTGGGATAATATTAGTAGCACGTGCTAAATTAATTGGGCTTTTTTCACCCTCCATAGCTTTGCCCCACTTTCTTCTTTGAAAGGTTATTATCTTTCTTTTGAAGTACTAGTTCCTTTTCTTCATTTGCTTCAAGATTATACAGTATGCTTTAGTTGGAAAGTGATAACGTGATTGTATTCCATAGTAAGAAAACATCGATAGGTTGCTATATGAATAGTACACATTATGATAACTCTACTGGCTTTTTGTTCGGAGATCTTCATTAAGAATGATAATCTACTCTAACCTATGAACAAGAGCTGATAAAATTAACCTAATAGATTTGCATTTAAAAAAGTGATAGCTTTTAATTAGACATTATAATTGAAAGCACAGCTATTCCACCGTAATATAATATTTCAAGTTATGTTGCAATTGGAAAAAAATCTTTTTTATGATCTAGTGATCTCGTTGATGGAAAAGCAATATTTTATTACTATTTGGGGTCAAGGGCAAAAGTACTGAAATACTAAACACAGCAATACTGTTGTTTTACCTAAGGTTGGAGGGTGGAGAGTGGTTCCATTTGAAATATGTCCTGCCAGAAGAAATCCTCCAAGAATCTGTTTCCCTAGAGAAAAATGTCATTTTACTATATTGAAGCAATAATTAATTGAATATTTTGTTTTGCTGTGTAAAAAGACTGGAATGCACCTTTGGGGTAATCCTCATTCACTGTCTTGCCATGTTAGCATAATCATGATGTTATGTGGAAATGATGCCTTTTTTAAAATACACATAAATTCATGAAATTTTATTGACCTACATTTAAAATCAAGCTGGGCTTTTTGTTTGGGTTCTGGCCATCAGTAGTAACTATATGGCACCTTGGTTCAAAATGTAGTTGTGTTGTGCACAGGTAAATAGAAAATGTATTTTCACATATTTGTTCCACTTCAGAATTGCAAAGCTTTGTATTCTAGCCAAGTATACATTAAGTTTTTTTTCTATTCCAAATATCCCCCTCCAGTAGCTTAAGAATAAACATTAGAGAGAGAAATTCAA